AAAGCTTCTAGACAAGAGCTGCCTTTAGGTAACTTACTTTCTTTGAACTACTGCACTTCAGAGCCAGATCAGTGACGCTTGCTGTAGCATTCACATAGGTGGCTCAGTTTAGCAAGGATCTCTCTTTGCTAAAAGTACCAACGCTGACCATGTTGGAAGGCACACTGTCATGTGAGCCCGATTCTGCTCTTACCTTCACCAGCATAAAAATCAAAATCACTCTCTGAGAACAACGGGCTACACTTACACAGGAAGTGAGAGGAGAAGTGGGTCCAGGACTGAGCTCAGGAACCTAAGAAGAGGCCCTTTTCCAAGGCCACAAGCATGGAGAAGGCTACAGGCTGTGTAGATAATAGAGGGCTTTCTATTCTCACACATTCCCCATCTGAACCCTGAGTTTGACTATGGACTAGGATTGTACATTAAACCTTAATCAGGTTTCTGTAGCTCCAGGAACTAATGACTTTTAAAGGGAGGTTAATGTATAGCTAACTATACTTCCAAGAATCATTCCTAAAAAATATCTTGGATCCTAAAGCATGCTAAAGCTTCACCCCCTGCACCCAGGCCCCATGCCGATGCCCACCTCCCCTGCATCCGGACCCCCACATCTGCATCCAGACCACCCCCCACTGAGCCCCACCTACCATGCATCCAGACCCCTCCCACTGAGCCCCTCCCCCCTGCATCTGGACCCTCACCCCTGCACCCGGACCATCCCCATTGAGCCCCCCACACTCAAACCCCCACCCTGGCAAGTTCCACCCCCCCGCACCTGGACAACCCCAATAAGGCCCCTGCCCCAACCAGCTGCACCCAGACCCCCCACCCCACCAAGCCCCATTCCCCCAGCATCTGGACCCCCTGCCGAGCCTCCCACACCCAGACCCCCCTGCCAAGTCTCAACCACCTGCACCCAGACCCCCCCAACGAGCCCCTGTGTATTCAGAGCCCCTCCAAACCCAGACCCCCACTGTGCCGCCTGCACTCAGATTGCCCCACACACCCCACATCTGTATCTTGATTACACCCATGCAAACCCACTGAATACACACTGCAGTTGCACAGATGCAGCGTAGGAATTGCTCAGACCCGAGGTCCATCTAATCCAGTTTTATCTCAGATGCTTCAGAAGAAGCTAAAAGAATCTGGCAAAAGGCAGACGTAGAATACTCTTCGCTCAGGAAGCTTTCATCTTAATCCTTACTAGAGGGAATGGCTGAAGCTGTGAAGCATGAGGTTTTTATTCCTTCCATTTCAAAGCATGATTTCTGCTCCCAGGATCTCTAACTGTTTATGCATGAGAAGGGGAAAAACCCCAGCTTGACTTTCAGATCCCAGGCCAGGTTTGCAGGATTGGCAGTTTAAAAAAGCCATCTCTGTCTGTGTGACTTGAGCAAATGGGTTTTGTGATCAGATGTAACGTGACCATGCCGTGTTATTTTTCATCACTTTCGGGGAGTGAGCTGCTCTCTCGTAGAGGCTGGAGTTGTGTGCGAGGAGTGGACAGCATTTTTGCTATTAATATGCTGTTCTTATTTTTAGGCAGCACATTTTATTTGACTACCATCGTGTGACCCACCATAGTAATCTAGCACCAGATGTATGGTGTAGTGGGAGACTGGGAAAGTGAAACTTTTAATCCTTCCCCTATAGTCTTGACCTCCTGGCTCTTGTTTCTCCATGATGCATCCTTTTCACTCCTGTTTGTATAGGTGCGTAGAGATACATCTGTCTGGCAAGCCCTGCTCTTTGAAACATCAAGATAGAGGAGTCAGCCTGAAGGACAAGTCTTCAGAGCGGTAGAAGGAAAAGCTGTGAAGTGCCTGAGAATAGGGGCTTATGAAAGTGCCTCCAACTACAACTACAGTACTGACATAGAACAGTCTCTCCCAGGCTTAACAAGGACTGGTGTGGCATCTACTAGTGAAATCTCCTTATGTGCCAACCGGGATAGGATTGGCTATGAGACTTCCTACAATCATTTTTCTACCTTCCCAGAGGGACCGGCACCAGCTGGCACCGCAGGTTGTAGGAGAGCACTCTTGCTGCTGCCTCAGCTGATGGTCACAGTGGTGAGCCCACAGGGAGTCTGCAAGAATTTCTATTTTAAATGCCCCAATCACACCTCCAACTCACCTGTGGCACAAACCATCCCTTGATGAGTGGGAAGCTTAGAGGCTGCCCATGCTTGCTCAAACCCTCCCTTCCTTGACTTGTTTCACAGGCTCTCCAGTCTCAATTAGCACGTATGGCCCTGAATATTAAGATGACCTGTCCACACTGCACATAGGTTGTTTCTTTTGGCCTGTGGCTCACTCTCTCAGCGTATGCGCAGGGTGCCCAGCCATTTGATAGCATCGTCATCAGCCAGGTGGAGAGCCGGTAGCTTGCCAGCAAAATAAGTCAGTGGACACTTGTCAAGGATATGCAACAGTCTGAAGTTGACTACATCTACATCGCGGATCATTAGAGAAACCCCATTTAAAGACACTGGCTGAAACCAGCCTCATGTGAGACAAGTGACATCAGACAGGAGCACAGTACTCTGGTGTTGAATAGCAGAGGGCAAGGGCTGATGTTCTAAGTGTCCAGGTGCTCGCATCCCAGGTTGAGTCAGACAGTTTTCGGTACATATTGTTCTGAGTGCCAACTTTGGCTGCTGTCTTCTTCAAGTGGTTGTGGGACATCAATGGTGTATCCAAAGTCGGGTGGAGGTAAATTGGGTTTGGGTTGTCCCGCAGGCATGGGCCGTTCAGGCTCAGCTGCAGGTGCCATTGACTACAGTAGCCTGCCGTGAGCTTGAGATCATCAGTCAGGACCCCGTCTCACTCATCGGTTATCAGTCCGAGTTGCTCAGCAGGAGCGGGGATCTTGAACATCCTGGGCATTATTACCACTCTTGTGCGGAGGACGAGATGCGGCCCAGGAGCCTGTAGCAGGACTGCAGGTTTTCTGTCACGACAGTAGGGGCAGTCAGAAATCAGGCTTGGTCACTTCTGACATTCCTACTTTCCTCACACAGAATGCAGTCTGCCCATTGTTTGCTGGGCCAGGCTTTTGCCAAGGACCATGTAGTGTTCTGCATTCCATGGTACATATACTGGAGGACCAGTTCCTGGCAGCAGCCAGGGGTCTGTGAAAGCCTGTTGGTCGCAAACTCACTGCAGTCTGGCAGCCTCACATACCTTAGGAGTTAGAGAATTGATATAGCAAAGCAGCCCAGTGTTTGCCCCTGGGTAACTGCAGGCTGAAGAGGTATTATAAAAAAAGGTCAGAATTCAAGCAGTAGGGTCTTCCACAGCTTCAGTCCTCTGCTATGAAAACTCCATTGGACCAATAGCTGGCTCTTTCAGCTAAAGCCAGAGTCCTTTTTCTGCTGGAGTGGTTCTCTGAGTGTTTATCGGATAGTCCAACTGATGTGATTACCAATGGGTAGCTAGAATGCAGGAAGTGGGGAGAACACACATCTATAGCTTTGACAGCAGTAGGGGAGTGGAAGGACAATAGTGAGGGAAACACACAGCTCTTGTATACGGGCTGAGCTCTGCAGGTCCTAGCACCTGCGATGCACAGCCCTTATTGCCTAATCTACCCTTTTCAAATTTACATCCCTATGCATCTTACAGCTGCCCTTTCTCAACAGTGGCACTGGAGAACTAGCATGTTTCCTCTGAGCCCCTCCTACATTCAGCTTTCTATGTACACACTCCTCTGCCATTACACACCCATGTTTAAGATTTTTAGGGAGAGGAGGGGTGGCTGTGACTTTTGCGTCCCTGTACAGATGCCACAGTGGGAAGGTAAATATGCACATTAGCTCTGAGAATCAGAGATAGTCGCCTACTGAGCAGTTAAAGAGGCTTCGCATGTTTCCAAGCAGTGGTGCTGGAACTTTTAGAGTCGGGGTGACGTGTGTTCACGCCCCCCGCTGCTCCCTAGAGCTGGGCCATGGCTCCGGGAGGGGGAGATGTGGACAGTGGTAAGGGGACCAAGGCTGGGGGTGGTTGTGGAGCTCTGGGTGCGAGGTTGGGAGCGGAGCCCTGCGTAAAACCTCGGGGTGTTGCAGTACTGCTCTCTCCCCCCCTCCCCCCGCATCTTTAGTTCCCACGCCTATGTTCCCAAGAGGAGGATGTGTTCCTTCAGTCAAGTTAAAAGTAACACAAATGCAGGCACACTTCTAATGCAGTTCTTCAGTCATCAGGGCATCAAACTGATCATATTTAAAAATCATCGATCTAGCTTTGGTGTAATAAGACAGCGGAAAGCTGATCTCCTGTGGATTCCTGATAACCTATGATGAGCACTTTCAGTACTTAGACCCCCCCCACTACAGACAGGAAACCAGCATGTTTTTCAAATATTCTCCTGCCTCCTGTCACGCTCTGGCATTCTGCAAATCAGAAAATGCACCCCCCCCCCCCCCCCCCCGAAAGCCACAAAAGATTCACCAGGAGTTCCACACTTACAGTCAAAAATAGGTTTAGTGGAATGTCTTTAGTCACAGCTGTAAGCAGCAATACTGAAAACACTTAGCTTGCACATCTCCATGACAGTACAGAAAGTCTCTTGGTTTGTAGAACCTAATTTTTTTTAAAAAAAAACATGAGACAGTGACATCCTTGCAATTATTCACAGAATGGTTAGATTCCCTTTAACATAATGCTACTTTCCTCCTCCTTCACTTGCATGAAACAACTGAGTTCCTACCTTCGGCAGCTGGCAGTAGGAAACTGTGTTTAAATTATAAATAACCTCATTACTACTTAACTATATATACAAATAAAATGTATTAGCAAGTAGCTAGTTCCAAACTGGGATTCCTGGAATATAGCAAAAAATAGGGTTTGGACATTCAACCTTGTTATAAATCAATGTATATGAAAAAGGGTCATTTGGCAGTTCTCAGAATGCCCTAGTTAGAACTGGCTACTGGCCTCTTTCATCATCTTGAAAAAAATCACCTCAGCTATATACATATGTTTCATTTAAATTACACAGCAGCTTTTATCATCCCAGAGCCGCTTCCACAGAAGTCTCCAGCCATCAAGTCAAGTGTGGTATTTCAGGATGATAGGTACTGTAAGAGAGGTAAAAAACAAAACAAGTCTTTAAAACCATACATATACAAACCTAGTATCGATCAGTATCAGAGCTGCAGAAGAGAAAAAGAAAAGGTTACTCGCCTTGTGCAGTGACTGTGGTTCTTCGAGATATGTCCACCTATGGGTGCTCCATTTCTGGTGTGCATGCGCCTTGCAAGCCCTTGATCAGAGATTTTCTGTTAACAATGTCTGTTCAGTCCACATATGCACTCTATACAACCTTGTGCCACGCTCTGAGCGTGTATAGGGCTGCACGGGCGAACTACCCTCATTTCCTTCTGTATCCGAACGACCAACAAAAACGGGGAGGAAGGAGGGCAGGAATGGAGCACCGATAGGGAAACGTTTCCAAAAACCACTGTTAATGCACAAGGTGATTAACCTTTTTATCTTCAAGTGGTGTCCCAATGGGTGCTCCATTAGGTGGCTCCCGAGCAGTATCCTCACCAGGAGCAGGGGGCTTCAGAATCCAGTCCAAGACTGAAGACGGTACAGCAGAACCAAGCACTGCATCAGATCTGATGACATGGACCAAGGCATAGTGTTCAGAAGAGGCATGCACTAGGGTCCACTTAGCAGCTCTGCATATCTCAGACACAGGAATGTTTCTGAGTAATGCTGTGGAAGTTGCTTGTGATATGGTAGTATTATCCTTTGGCGTGGCAAAACACAAGCTATATCATAGCAAGCGGTAATACACCCAGAGATCATCTTGAAAGTCTCTGTAAAGAGATCTTGGACCCCTTTGATCTTTCTGCAATGAAGACAAGTATAGGTGATTTCCAAAGTTGCTTGGTTCAATCCAGATAAGAGGCCAATGCTCATAGTACATCTACTGTATGAAGGGAAGTCCCCCGCTCAGATTTATGTGGGTTAGGAAAAGGTACCAGTTGATGAATAGACTGGTTAAGATGGAAATCTAACAGCACCTTAGGTAAGAACTTTGGGTGTGGTTGTAGGGAGACCTTGCCTTTGAAAAATATTGTAAATGCGGGGTCTGCCATCAAGGTTCCAGTTTCTCCAACCCTACGGGCTGATGCAATACCTATTATAAAGGCCATCTTCATAGATAAGTGAAACAAGGAGCAGGTTGCCATAGGTTCAAATGGAGGTCCCATAAGGTATCAGAGTACCAGATTGAGATCCCAAGTCACAGTAGGATCCTTAACCTAGGGATAAAGATTCCCTAGACCTTTAATAAATCTGAAGGACATAGGGTGCGCAAAAATAGAAACCCCTCTGGTGGGGAATGAAATGCTGATATCGCAGTGAGATGAACCTTTGAGATAAATTATAAACCCTATTTTTAAAATCCAGCAAATAATCCAAGATGGTTGACAGTGGAGACGATTCAGTGGAAATGCACAAGGGGAGTGATGGTGACACCAGTGGTTGAAACTTCTTCTATTTCTGAAGGTAAGTAATTCGAGTTGACTCCCTTCTACTGTTCAGAAGTAAAAACAGTAGACTTCTACAGTACAATCAAAAAAGCTAACTGAATGTTAGGAACCATTGGGAGATAGATAATAAGAGAGAAAATATCATAATGCCACTATAGAAATCCATGGTATGCCCAAATCTTGTATACCACATACAGTTCTGGTTGCCCCATCTCAAAAAAAAAAAAAAGATACATTAGAATTTAAAAAGTACAGAAAAGGGCAACAAAAATGATTTGGGGTGTGGAACAGCTTCCATACAAGGAGAGATTAAAAAGACTGGGACCGTTCATCTTAGAAAAGAGACAACTCAGGATACCATAGAAGTCTACAAAATCATGAATGGTATGGAGAAAATGAATAAGGAAGTGTTATTTACCCCCTTCACAGAACCCAATGAAATTAATAGGCAGCAGGTTTAAAACAAACAAAAAGAAGTACTTCTTCACACAATGCACAGTCAACCTCTGGAATTCACTGCCAGGGGATGTTGTAAAGGCCAAAAGTATAACTGGATTCAAAAAGATTTAGGTAAGTTCCTGGAGCATAGGTCCATCAGTGGTTATTAGCCAAGATGGTCAGGGACGCAACCTCATGTTCTGGGTGTCCCTAAACCTCCAACTGCCAGAAGCTGAGACTGGACGACAGGAAATGGATCACTCAATAAATTGCCCTGTTCAGCGGGAAGCACCTGGCATTGGTCACTGTCAGAAGACAGGATACAGAGCTAGATGGGCCATTGGTCTGATCCAGTATGGCCATTCTTATGCTCTTATAATTAGTAATATGTGTATTCCTGTTCAGCAGGTGAATTCTAATCCCATGAACCATCTAGGAGACATGCTTGTTTACAAGCATCGTCCACCAGGGAATTAGGTGGGGGTTGGAAAACAAAAATTCCCAGTCCTTCGGGAAACATTTTATTTTTTAACCGCCCCCTTACAAGTTGGCAGTATGGTGGCAGGAGTTTGCCACACATTTGCTGGATCCAGGAATGCTTCATTAATGGGTAGCGCAACCCAAGTGAGTGTTGCCAACTGCAGAACTTCCAGGAGCTTGTGATGTGAGTGTAACTTCCTTGAGAGGTATCTAGAGGGTGTCCACCACCCTCTTCACAAGGTTCTGGAATCGACTAACAGCGTCAGTCATCGATGGTGGAGGCACGTCTGTCTCAACAGGAGACAAAGAAAATAGGGGCCTGAGTGGTAGTCTTTTTGTTCGCCCTAGCCTCTTGTCATCAAAGGCCTCCTTGTGTTGGGGGTTTGGTGGAGGAGGCTGTGGGACTCTAGTTTTCTGGTGTGGTGGAGCCAGAGATCTGGCAAATTGCTGCTGATACACTGCCCAAGGATCCCAGTATGGCCAGTAGGGAGGCCCATATGGGAGAAGGGTTGGTACCCAGGACTGATCCCACCATCCCAGACATGGGCAAGGGGCTTTGTCAAAGTATGGGTTCCAGTAATGGAGACTCCTGCACTGATAAGGAGAAGACTGAATGTCTCCTTCATCCTCTGCAACATCCTCCAGTGGGCCCAGTAGAAAAGGGTAGAGAATCCTGCGGTACCAGGAAGCACTCATCATCCAGAGACTGGCATCTTGGTACCGAGAGTCATTTGGAACCCATAAGCAGCAGGGACTCTGGTTCGTCTAACACTGACATGTTGCTGAAGTAATGGAATTCCTGCGGTACTGAGTGGGTCAGTGCTGATGCAGCAGTTGGCTTGGGCAGTACTGTAGGTTTGTAGCATGTAGGCACCAGGGCTGAAGATGTGTACTTTGATTTTGTCAGTACCAACAGAGCCAAATGGGAATGCAGTGCTGGCAAGTTTGAAATAGACAGTGCCGATCTGGAGGCAGACGATACTGGGGCCTTGCCGGTGCCGTGTTTCTCTGAAGTGATCTGGAATGTCCCTGCTCCACTAGTACCACAGGAGGAATCTTTCACCTCCATGGTACTGAGTCGAGAGTCAAGACCTCCGACACTGTAGACCTAGCACAAGATCAGGACTTCTTGGGAGCTGGCTGTTTGGTGGGAGACCAAGCTCCTTCCTCTTCAGAGCCTTCCCTGAATCCCCTGAGATCTTCCCCCTCTTAGACAAGCCATTAGTTGAAGTCAAAGGGGCACTGGATCTGTCTGGAGACAGATGTACGGGGCAGATGTCTCCAGACCTGACTTGGAAGTGAGTCAAAGGGAGCACTCCACCAGTAGCAGCTTCAGTTTGGTTCCCCATTCTTCTGAGCTTTAGATTTTAGAGCCAGGTGACAGTTACACCTTTGGGAGATGTGGGATTCTCCCAAGCAACAGATACATTTAGAGAGGCTGTCGCTGATCGGGATAGCCTACTGACAAGAGAGGCAGTGTTTGAAACCTGGTGAGCCAGGCATGCCCCCAGCCAGGCCAAATAAGTTCCCCAGAAAAAATAAGAGAGGAAAAACTGAAACCTCTCACAGCTGTCTAACTAATTCTGTACTAACAGCAACTAACCCTAACTAGGAACACTACATTAACTAAACAACTTCAAAACACGCTGAGACGGGCATGAGGTGGATATGCTAGGGTTCTTTGTCAGGCCAAGGCAGCCAGAGTGGTGCCCCCGCGCAGCCCTATATACCCTTGGCATGCAGCACAAAGTTGTATAGAGTGCATGTGTGGGCCAAACGGACACTGCTAACAGAAAACCTCTGATCCAGGACTAGGGAGGTGCATGTGCACCTCAAGTGTAGTACCCACACAGACAGTACTTGCAGAAGAACCAGATTTCCTTAGTCAACCAAGGGACCGCAAGTAAAAATATATTTCCTTGTTCAAATGGATGAAAATGGTACAGGGTCTTGTCCCTGTAGCATTTGCGCAGGATGCAAACTGAATCCATTTCCAACTCCCCAAACCAAACCTGATGGGATTGTCCATCAATGTCACTCCAGTCGCTACCATTCCAGCTGTTGGCTCTAACTCTTTCACTTCCTGACTGCATTTCAGCCGGATGAGATAGTCCCTAAGGATATTAGGTTTTTGCTTACTACCAAGGCAGGGCCTTGCATAAAGCTACACCTGTACCACTGCTCCTACATGGATGGGAGAATTTTCTCCCAAGATCAGCAGCAAGGAAGGGCCTTGCTGTTGTGCTGGCCTCCTGGGGTCCCTTGTTAAAACTCGGCCATCCATCTCAAAGGAAGGGTGGAATGACTTCTCTGCCTCAGAGCAGCGCTCTCTCTGGTTATTGTTTATGTCACTGTAGTGCCTAGAGCTCCCATTGCACTAGGTGCTATAGAAAACACACAGGACAGGGAGTTTACACTCTAAATAGACACGACAGGCTAAGAGTGGGAGGGGAAACAAAGGCACGGAGAGGGAAGTTACTTGCCCAAGGTCACACAGCAAGGCTGGTGACAAGGTTTGGAATAGAACCCAGCTCTGAGTCCCAAGCGTATACTCAAGCCACTGGCCCACACTGCCTGACAGAGATTATTATACAAGCCCCTTTTGAAGGGAGCTTTGTCTCAGAATAGACAAATTGCCATAGATTACAGGTATTTTCAAACATTTTCTGAGAGAAGGTACCTCAGACCCTTTGGGTCTTCAGTCCATCTCCCTTCAGACTTTGCAAGCTGATCACGGTGCTACGTGCTGAGTTTCCAGGAATAGGGTATCTCTTTTGTTGAGAAAGTGCAACTCCATCTCCTGCCTTGGTAATGGTTATTAGAAGGTCTTTGTTTAAACAAGAAGAAATTTCCCACACACATGCCTGTAATCCCAGCATGGCAGGGGTTCAGCACAGGCAAGGGGAGCCCTTGGTTAAAATATTGGCTGCATGTGACTGAACATCCCTAAGGAGCAAGACTTGGGGTCACTGGCAATTTCTGCTCAAGTGCTACTGATCAGGTCACATGTGGATAGCAAGGAAGTTCTAAGTGTCAATTTTAACATTATTTACAGCAAACAAAATGTTTCAATGTAAAAATAAAACCACCAACCATGCAGGGAAGGGTTGTCAATACTTACTGATGATCACTAGCAAGAGGATGACAGCAACCAAAGCTACAAGGGCCTTCATCTGCAAGAAGAGCGCAAAGAAAGGGAGGAATTACCTTCCTGACATGAGACCACATGTTTGGCTTGTTCTAAATTAAATGAGTCACCTCCCTGTTTAGATCCAGGACAAGGTATCTGTTCCCCTATCCCAGAATACTGTTGATGCCACTCCACAGACCAGATGGAAGGGAGTGTATTTCAAACAAATCGCTTTAGCTGACACCAATTCCTAAACCAGCTCTCTGGTGTCTCTTGTTTTAGAAAGCAGAAAATAGAGGGGAGTTTGGGGTAAGCTGCATACCTGATTTGGAAAAAAACACCCCAATATATCAACACAAGAGTGTGTATAGATGTGATCATATACAACATCTATCAGCACTAGAAAAATGTCCCCTGATACCTCAAACGCCGAGGCCAAAAATTTTCAAGCCTAGGTACCTAAAGTAAGACTCTCCCAAGTAACAGTATCCTGACAGAGCAATGCATGCTGGTACTCATGGTCTCTGCTGGCCTCAGCTCTGGATTCAAGATAAGAGTGGCTGCAATATGCCCCATTTTCATACAAGTTAGATACAAATCTCAGATTCTGGCAATCTTCTCACGTTACTCTTAATAGGACCAAATTTTAAGAACGTGCATTAAGAAATCCACTCCTTCCCCTCTCCATTTACTCACCTTGCACCCTCGCCACCACATCTGTCTTCGAAGCTGTTTGGATCGGTTGCTGAACGCTGTTGCATTGTCTGATAAACTTTCTGCATCACATGGAGAGAGAAAAGAATTAAAGGCATAGCAGCATGGGCACATCTAGAAGCACAAACACACCAGAAAAAAAGGCCTCCGGTTCTGCAAATTCACTTATTCTTAAACCATAAACTAGGAAACCAGGGAATATACACAATTGCCAAGTGCTTCTGCATAATTATATTGAAATTCAGCATGCTGTGTTTCATCAACATGCTGAAATTCACTAGCAACACAGTAGAACTTTGCCAACACAAACTAATGACTAGGAGACCGATTATAAATGGTGAATGCATTTTACAAATTGTAAGTGAACAGACAAGAAAAAAAATGGTCTTTGTCAGTTTGCATAAGAGTAGTTTAATTGTGGCAACACCATAAGTATACTAGAAACTATAAAAGTCATGGAAATCAGCATTACAAGACTTGATTGTAGTGTTCTGCAATTAAGCCTTTCTCCTGAAACACAAAGTGAAATTCCCAAGCATTTACAGTAATGAGAATTTTCAGCTCTGCAGAATAGCAGAACAAGAATGAGTGAGGTTCCACGGTAACTTGTAAGGGTCCCAAATACATTATAGCATATAAAGTCAAGACTTTTATAAGTGGACCCTTCAGGTTAAAAACACAATAGGCTGAAAGAGGGAGAATTAAATTTAAGTTGAAATATCCAGTAGGACTACTAAAAAAAAAAGCAAAATGCTGCTGCAAGTGACCAGCTCAAGCCAGCAACAGATGAGGGGTATAGAAATCTAGAAGGTATGTGAAGAGAACAGCCATGACATGATGGAGACTTACCCCTAGCTGGGAATGATACTAACTGGGGAGGTGTTGCAAACATCAGCAAGGTCAGAAAAACTATACAAAGGGACCTACAGAGGTTAAACATCTAGACAGCAAATAAAATGAAATTTAAGCTGGCAAAATGCAAAGCCAATACATCGAGGGAATACTAATCTGAAATGCAGCTATTCGGGGGAGGGAGGATCTCTTTCAAGACTCCTGCCTCCCCAGAGAAAGGGTAGGGGCAGAGAGCCGGTAAACAAGAACTTACAGTTCCAATTTAAGGGCAATGAAAGTCAATGCAGAGGTATCAAGGGCAGATTTACAAAGGTATTTAGGCACCTTGCTGCATCTTTAGGCACCTAAATATCTTAGTAAATCTGGTCCCAAGTCATGACCCAAGTTGATAACAGTGTTTTATATAGGACTCTGGTGAGATCGCATATGGAGCACAGCACACAGGCTGAATACCAGCAGGCTGCCAAGTCTTTACTCCTGGGAGAATTCTGCGCCACTGTGCATGTGCAGAATTCATGTCCCCCACAGATTTCTTTGTTCCCCAGCAGAAAAATGACTTTCTGATGGGTAAGCAAAGGGAAGACACAACAGCGGTCATGTGACCCTCCCCCGGAGTATGTTTTGGGTGCCCAGGACAGCCAGCAGAGAGGTAAATCACTGTGGGGCAGGGGGCGGGACTGGGGAAGGCCTAGCTGGTGGCTCCTACCCTGCGCCAGGCTCAGCTGCTAGTCCTGGCTGGGTGGGGGAGGACAGGACTTTCTCTTTCCCTGCACGGCATCCAGGGCTGGGTCAGACCCACCCCCAGATTTCTCCCCAGGCTGCAGGAAGGTCTGCAAACTCCCTCGCCTCCCCCTCTCCCCCGCTTCCTGCACCCATCACTCCTCAGCTACAGGGGGAGGGATCACTGTACGGGGAACTGCTCCCCCATCCGCCCAACCCCCTGCATCCAGACCCCCTCATACCCAGACCCTCCCACCGAGCCTCAGGCCCCCAGAATCCCACCTGCTGAGCCCCACTCCCCCTGCACCTGGACCACCCTGATGAGTCACCTGCACCCCCACTCCACTGAGCCCCAACCAGCTGCACTTGGATCCCCACCCCACTGAGCCCCACTCCCTCAGCATCTGGACCCCCCCACGGAACTCCCCACACCCAGACCCCCCTGCCGAGCTCTCTCTCTCTCTCACACACACACACACACACACACCCCTGCTGAGCCCCAACCACCTTCACCTGGACCCCCTTGCAGAATCCCATTACCATTGTACCCAGAACCCCCCAACAAACCTCCAGATCCAGATCCCCCCCCACACCCAGATCCCCCATTGAGCTTCCCCACACAGAACTCTCACCCTACACCTGGATCCCCCCCACACTAAGCCCCTCCACACTTGGAGCCTGCCTGCCCACACCTAGTGCACCTGGCACAGATGGGCAGGGCCCTGGGGTATTTCTGGGGCAGGCCCAGTCCTTGCGCTGTTTCAGGGTCAGGAGCAGCCTCACTGCTGAGTCCGTGTCCCGGGGGGAGCTGCAGAGTGATCTTCCACCTCTGTGCAGCCAATGGCCTGTGCTCCACAATGCCATGCTGGAGCCTCCACATTTATTTGACAAATAAAATTTGCAGAATTTTAAAACATTGTGCACAGAATTGTTTATCTTTTGGCGTAAAATCCCCTCAGGAGTAACAAGTGGAGGGAACATAAAGAGCAACTACCCCAAGTGAGGGGATGGAAGGAGCGATGGACGAGGAATATTTAGAGAACTCTTCCTGGGCTGTAAAGAGATGAAGTCGGGGGAGGAAAATGATACGCTGCAAGTTATAAGCACCAAGGGAAAGAAAATGTTTAAGGAGGCTCAAGGAAGTACAGGGATGAAAGTGGAAAAGGGGACACTTGGCTTCCCAACAAACAGACAGTAAGATTGGCAGTCTCAGGCTGGAAACAGCCTCCCAATGGAAGTGGTGTATCCATGGAGACACTTCAAATAGAGGTTTGTCCAGATTAGGATATTGTAGGAAACAATCATGCCCTGGGCCCATGAGAAAATGTGCTTTAGCAGGTCATCGTCTCGCTCTGATTTCCAGAATCTGCTGTCATGAAATGGAATCAATCTAACACCATTGCCCGGCAGAGAGGGATGAGGTGTACAGCAAAATAGCCACAGTCACCAGGGGAAAGAAGAGGACTTTCAATCCCTTCACTAAGGTTACTCACAGTGGTGTTTTAAAGCTGCCTAGAGGAGCATGCTGTTCCCCAGGACTCAACGTGAGGGAGGGGAGGCAGGAAGAGAGTTCTAGAATATTATTAAGTATTCCCACCTGATTTATCCTGTAAGTCATCCAGTCTCTCTCCTCTTTCAATCACCTTGGTGATGTTCTCCTGCATGACGTCAATGACTTCATCCACCTGGTTCTGGACACTAGAGGAAAGTAAAGCCATTAGAAATCACACAGGCCTAACAGTAGCAGGTGTTATGGACTCTATATTCCATTACCGGTGCTTCGGTGAAAGCTGTTTGCACTGAAAGAATGAGCAGCAGTTCACCAATGATACAGACAGACCCAATAGCGGAAAGGTCATTGCGACATTTGAGAAAGTCTGTGGTGGGCAGGATTAACCCTGCGTGTGATGCTGTTCCAGGAGATAGGTGGGTTCTCTCCATAGCGTCATTTACTCTGCAACACTTTCTCATCCTCACCCCACGCTCAGGCCAACTGCCTGGAAAGTTGGAGCAATATGTTTATAGATGAGGAATAGTCTTGGTCCATGAACTCAAGGGTGATTTTTCCTGGCTAAGGATATTAGCACTTTATTCTCCGAGGAAAAGGAAGGAGTTTTAATAGCATTTTGTTGCTCTTGCAGTTCCTGCCATATTGTGCTGTTTGACTTTTCTAATCCAGCTTCAGATCTCTCAACGTCAAGAGTTTGAGCTAGAACCTAGCTCTGGTTTCCCTGCATTAACCTCCAGGTCTCCTTCAGGACTCACTCCACACTGCAGAGGGGTATGGAAGTGGCTCAGTCTCTTAGATTGGGATTTTTAAAAAGGGGTTTACGGAACTATGTACCCAGCTCACTGAAAGTCAGTGTGAGTTGAGTGTCCATCTGCCTTTGTCTTCCTATCAAAAGGAGAGCAATGAAATGGAAGATCTGAAAGCATTCTCAATACCAGAGTCACTTTTTCAAACAATGTTGGGAGAATTAATTAAATCTCTTCTATCTTTGCTATTGTTGGGATGCTGTGATTTGGCAGGGACTGAGGACATCTGTTAGTTAAGTGTGGCCTTTTAAAGATCTTGTCAAAGATGCGGAGAGCTTGGAATGGAGGCTCTTTTGTTGCAGAGTAGTACGTTTCTTTTGTTTTATACATCTCAGTCACTATGTCCTTTCTGGAGTGCTAAACCTCAACACAGGGTTGTTAAATAGCCTGGGGATGAAAGCATCAGGAGGGTGTTTCCCCAAGGAAGTCTGCAACTGTATTTGAAGAATAAGTTGCATTTGCCCAAAATGTGTTCAAACAAATTTCAAAGGAACAGATGAAGTAAATTAAGATGAACTATCATATCCCAGCTTCTGAATTCCATATCAGAGGTTAGTCAACAATACAGGTAGTTATTTTGCTGCACAGTAACCAGGTTCAAATCCCTAAGGCTACTGCAAATTCAGAAGTTAACGGACAATGCCATAAAATAACACTCAAAAGCCACATATAACAAAAGTACTTGACTACATTTTGGAGATAATGCACGTTTGTCTTTACTGGAGATGGAAATCAGAAACAGCTTAGGGCACCTGCAATATAATAAGAACGGCTATACTAGGTCAGACCAAAGGTGCATCCAGACCAGTATCCTGTCTACCGACAGTGGCCAATGCCAGGTGCCCCAGAGGGAGTGAACCTAACAAGTAATGATCAAGTGATCTCTCTCCTGCCATCCATCTCCACCCTCTGACAAACAGAGGCTAGGGACACCATTCCTTACCCATCCTGGCTAATAGCCATTAATGGACTTAAACTCCATGAATTTATCTAGTTCTCTTTTAAACCCTGTTATAGTCCTAGCCTTCACAACCTCCTCAGGCAAGGAGTTCCACAGGTTGATTGTGCGCTGTGTGAAGAAGTCATATGAAATGTACTGGCCTCATGGGACAATGGCAAGAACAGTTGTCTCTGAGGCAGTAAAAGCTAAGCATTGGACAAAACCACCGTTTTCTTCAATGCAAGTAGGTTCTAGGCTCTTACTCTGGTAAGATTATTTTGTTCAGTTTCTTCAACTCATAAAATGCATGGATTGAATATATATCAAATGCCTTGCGTATACTGAATCTGCATAGTTTGAAAAGCTGATGTAAACATGAGAAGGAGAAAAACTCTAGCCATTCCCACATATTCTTGGATATACGTGTCATGTACTAATGGAAAAGGTCCAATGCTTTCCCTATGGCAAAAGATATATCAAAGAACATTTCCAATAGCTAATAATTCACGCTTCCTTAGCAACTACAATCTGAGAATCTCAAAACACCTACCACCAATGATTTCATCCCTGAAACACGGCCATGGGATAGGAAAGTATTATCCCTCCCCATTTCACAGATGGAGAAACTCAGAAAAGTGACTTGCCTCAAGTCGCAGAGCCAGGAATAGGCCTAATAATAATGATACCACCTAGCTAGCACGTATACAGTGCTTTCCATCAGTAGAGCTCAAAAACATTTTACAAAAGAGTTATTATCATCACCACTTTGCAGATGGGGAAACTGAGGCACAGAGAGGTGAAGTGACATGCCCATGGTCACCCAGAAGACCAGTGGCAGAGCCAAAAAATAGAATCCAGGTCTCCCAAATCCCAATCCAGTGGTCTTTCTGATAGTCCACTCTGCCACTAGTTTACACTCACCTAATTTTTCTGTCTCCTGAGACCATACGTTCCTCTCATCAAAGCAGAAGATATTATGTAGACAGTTATGCATGGGGCACGTATAAGAACTCCTATTATAATAAACCGCAGATTTGAAAAAAAAATCAGGGTTCAGAATAAATGAAGAAAGAGCTTTGGGGGTCTGCAGCTCAAGCAGTCTTACAATCTGAAAGGGATTTAAAATATACAGCACACAGATAGAGAAGCTGTCACCAAAACTGCTCCAGATGCGAAAGGCCTAGAGATGCAACTGCAACTATTAAATCGGAAGTTTCAAACATTTCGAGATGAATAGCGAAAGCCAACCCAGCACCACAACAATTGTAGGGCTGATCTTCAAATGCACAAATGTCCCTTGGGTGTCACACTTCTGGGGGCTTTCAATAGGAACTGGGCAGCTAACTGCCTTTTGTGCCTTTGAAAATCTCCCCCTACACGTGCTCATTGCTCCAAAACGGAAAAGAGGGAATCCAGTAAAAAACAGAATAGCAGCACTTGGCTTTTCAAACCTCTATTAATAAAAAACTGGAAACACGGCAGCATGGCCATGGGTGGTCACTAATTAGAGAGGGCTACGCGTCTGCCTTGGCATTTCATGCCAGGCTTCGCAAACCACTGCAGCCACACTTTTGTAGTTCCCGTCATCAGCAGACCCCTCTGAAGCAAACTGCTGGCTTAACATTGAGCTGGAGAGGCTGTATTTTTATATGGACGAAAACCAGGCACAAAGCATTATTCTACTGTCGCACAAAAAATAAACTAGCCCTTTCCTGCAGCATATCATAAATTCAGCATGAATTCTGCTACAGAAGCCTGACTCCCCACAGCTGCTTGAAATCTTCCGCTACAGAAGGGCAGGAAGAGCTGCTAAATCTATTGTTTGTCAACCATTCCCTATTTTGATGAAACAGGCCTGGATACTCACCCAGTGTTTCATCAGCTGCCTCTTAAATAAAGAAAACAATATATGACTCATGACCCAGGCAATCTTAACAGACTTTTTTTTTTTTTTAAACTTCACATTCCTAAACGAAACATGGTAGTAGAAGAAGTGCCAGCTATTCCAAACAGACCATCTTCAAATACCGGATCTACTAAACATATCAGAATCACTTCCAGTGAATTCATTTTCTTCCTTTATCATGACGTGTTGAGACTACCCAGGGGCCAGCAGATGCGCGCGTTTTACACTGGATGCACACACCCAAATACTCATATAATTAAAACAGTGATTCACGTCCAGCACCTAAACAAAAAGGAGTCATGTTGTCACAAAGCATAGGCAGTAGGACTTCTGGTGTCACTATAAGCCCTGGACAAACTTGGGTGACTCACAGGCAATTACTGCTTCCAAGCATAAGATGGGTGATGAGAGAAGAAAAACAATCACTGGAAAATTAAAAATGAAGGGGCCAATCCCGCTAGCCCTCTGTTTACCAAACTCTCACGGTTTCACATGCGGCGGGCGAGCAGACTCAGGGCTAACATTTGAGACACATTTACTTTGCTTCGCAGTATGTGGATGTTCTTCAAATTATTCATTGGCTTTAAAGTAATGAAAAGTCCTCCCAATGACAGGTCTGTAACCAAATTGTCTTGGTTCAAACCACCAGCAGGAATGTATATGGGATGCAAGCGATGTTACATTAGAGTCAGAAAGAAGAGGATCCAACGTGAGGGAAGGTGTTCAAGGAAATCCATGCTATGTACAAGACTCAAAGCATCAGTCATACACATCGACCTCTGAAAAAGGTCTGTATTAAATGGCTATGCATAGAATCATAGAATATCAGAGTTGGAAGGGACCTCAGGAGGTCATCTAGTCCAACCCCCTGCTCAAAGCAGGACCAATTCCCAACTAAATCATCCCAGCCAAGGCTTTGTCAAGCCGGGCCTTAAAAACCTCCAAGGAAGGAGACTCCACCACCTCCCTAGGTAACGCGTTTCAGTGCTTCACCACCCTCCTAGTGAAATAGTGTTTCCTAATATCCAACCTAGACCTCCCCCACTGCAACTTGAGACCATTGCTCCTTGTTCTGTCATCTGCCACCATTGAGAACAGCCGAGTTCCATCCTCTTTGGAACCCCCTTTCCAAAGAGGATGGTAGTTGTAGGCTGCTATCAAATCCCCCTCATTCTTCTCTTCTGGAGACTAAACAATCCCAGTTCCCTCAGCCTCTCCTCATAAGTCATGCGCTCCAGACCCCTAATCATTTTTGTTGCCCTCCGCTGGACTCTTTCCAATTTTTCCACATCCTTCTTGTAGTGTGGGGCCCAAAACTGGACACAGTACTCCAGATGAGGCCTCACCAATGTCGAATAAAGGGCAACGATCACGGCCTTCGATCTGCTGGCAATGCCCCTACTTATACAGCCCAAAATGCCGTTAGCCTTCTTGGCAACAAGAGCACACTGTTGACTCTCATCCAGCTTCTCGTCCATTGTGACCCCTAGGTCCTTTTCTGCAGAACTGCTACCTAGCCATTCGGTCCCTAGTCTGTAGCTGTGCATGGGA